AAATTTTGGGACAATATAATCTGGTAAAGAGTAGATTTATATACATGTTTAAGCCAGAATGAATTGACATTTAAATATGATTTCCCTACGACTTTAAGCCATTAATGTAAACATTTTTGTGAACAAAGATTTGCATCATAGCCTGCAACACACGTTACAGCGCGGCGCGGCGCCAGGCAGGTGGCTGCTGTAAACAAAGCGGCGGTGTGTGTCTCAGCCATGGATCCCAAAGGGAAAACAGGAAGATAGCTGATGAGAACAGAGGATTCAAAGAAGAATGGAGCGAATCCTTTGCTTTCATTATCAATGCGGAACGATTGCCTGCATGTTTGCTTTGGAATGAGAAGTTGCCAAATAATAAAAAGGAGTCGTTTGGAAAGGCATTTCCAGGGAAGGCTGCTAAATATACAGTTGGGAGTGAGAGAAAAAGTGTGATTGCAGAACTTCTGGGTAAATTAGAGGAGAGCAAAGATAGATTAAAGAAGTGGATTTCATCTCCAAACTCCACTACTGCTGCTAGTTTGGTTGCAAGCATAGAAAACCGTTCACAGATCCAACAGGTAGCGCTCTGATGCAGGGATGGCAACTTCCATTTTTTTCCCAAATCCTCAAAATAAAAATAACACAAAAGATCCGATTTCTTTCTTGTGTTTCTATAATTTCATTAATGCAACAAAACCTAATACATTAATATTGTAATAATATTATATATCTAAGCACATGTAGTCCTTCTCTATAGTGGTCTAATACGGTTAGTGTTTCCATACGAGGCTTATAGAAGACTTTTACATTTTTGGGGCTCCAGGCGGATTTGTTGTTTGTTTTTTTTGATCCAATATGGCTCCTTGAACAGTTTAGGTGCTGACACCTTGTTCTACTGCACATAAAGATTAAACTTTTGATATTATGGAGGTATGAAGCTAAACGGACTGTTTGGGAGGAGATGAAAACGTCGACATTTATTCTCGTCAGGCAGCAAAAGTTTCAGCTGCAGCTTCATAACTCTCAACCAGGCTGCTTTTCTGAGGTTTAGCTAACAGGATAAGTTTAAAACATGCCGTCAGGCTATGAAATGAAAGTATTGGTGAAAATTGGAGATTTGTATATGGATTTATTATATTCATGGTCAGGTTAGGTGAATGGAGCGGTGCGCCGAGCAATTGCTGCTCCCCCCAAATTTGCGTCAGGATGCTCTGCTCAAAATCTGATTTGCACTCACTTTCATTTTCCTGCCGCTCCGAGAAAATCGTAACCTGACAACAGCCAGATGCATGTCTCGCTCCGAGCTAGGCGGAGCGAGACATGCATCTGGCTGTTGTCAGGTTAGGAAAATCGCTCCACGCTTGCTCAGATTTTCAGAAGAAGGCATTTTCTGACATTTTTCCTTCAAGTAATTATGCCAGGGCCCTGGGACACATTGCGTTTGATTTAATGATACATACATGTGTATTGTCTTATTTAACGCCTCGCTCCATTCATGTTTTCTCGCGTTTCCTATTTAATTATTAATTTATTTTACTAGACTACAGTAAAAAGGGTCATATTAAACAGGATAATAGCATATAATGCATGTATGTGATCAGTTTTCAAAAACAGGCTCTTACCACAACCATCATAAACCCACTCTGTGTTGTTAAGTATATTAATGTTTTTAATGATAGTTTATCCCACTTTTATTACACAATATGTAATCCTCATCTTGGTGATTCTGTTGTAAAGTTGTAACATGGACTATAACAGATTATAGGCACAGACTACAGCATAGGCACTGGCAAACATGAATTTAAATAAAGTGGGAGCGAACTGGAGCGGAGTGAAATCCTCGCTCTACCTTTGAACTGAAAACTGCTCTGCGCTCCATCATATTTCTTCTGCTCCGCTCACATGCTATGCTCATGGTTTTATAAATATCCGAATGTGAAGCATTTATTGACATATATCCTTTAGTTTCTGTAAAGCTTTTCTAGTAGTTCATGCAGATGGTTCCGGATGCTTTTTGAGAGACAAAGCCTTCTCCTGTTTTCAGGCATCCTAAACAACATCAGGGGGATTCTCTGGCTGGCCATCAGGGACTCAACATGGCTCCCACTAGAAAACAGTAGACATCTGTTCCACCGGCAGTGTCCTCGTTGTTTTTCTCTGCTCACTGCAGCAGGAGTTAAGAACTGGTTTTTGCTGAGTAGTTCCAGCTCAGTCAGACTGGGAGTAGAGTCACTGCTAGAGTTTGACTGGACCGGTCGAACAGGAATAAGCTGGGATTGAAACTAAAGTAGCATCAGAATGTGAAACCAGGCAGCAGAAGTTTTTGGTTTAAAGGGCAAACAGATGGAGGAGAGGACACGGTGGAATAAAAGTCTGATTTTTGGATAGAGGACAGGTCAGACTTTCAATTCTAGATGGTAGAGGATGGAAGAGAGCTGCAAAGCTGGGAGTTTTGTTTCAATTCAATTCAGTTTATTTCTATAGCAGCAATTCACACCAATGTCATCTCAGGGCACTTTACAGTTCACTAGTGGTGTAAATCACACATCATGGCGATTCGATTCAGTATCAATTTCCTGACCCAACGATTTGATCATTTTTAATACTCAAAAATACATTGTCTTCTTTATCCTCCGCCATGTCTGTCTTGCCTATGGTTTACGTGAGTGTGTGTGTGCAAGCGGAAAGATGGTAGTGGCTAAAGGAAGCCAGGTAGAGGGGCAAAATAGGTTTAGCGCCACCAAAGAACAGGAGTCAGAGCAAATGGATGAAAATAGACCGGAGGAGAAAAAAAAAAACATG